GAATAAGTTAAGGCTGCATTTGGAAACAATGCAAGTATGAATATAAATATGTAGAGTGTAAAATGGTTCATATAAATTGTAAAATTGGGTTAGTTTTGCACTCGACAAATTTACCTTCTTACCAAATAGACTATTAGTTGTAATTGATACAAATATGAATTTCAATAAAGCATGTGTTTCTATTTTTTATCAAAAGCCTAATTGAATCCAAATTTACTTCCTTTTTATTAGTGTACTTTTACATTTCATTATCAATATAAATATGCATTGGTCTATCATTTGTCAATGCATAAATGTAATGTTTCCAAACACAATAAAAAATGAACCAGAGTGCAAATTTATCCTAAACCGGCATTTACTATCCATTTGCATCATTTCCAAACACATCCTAAGAAACAAGTTGATAAGATCTCCACTTTATACGAAAGAATTTAAATTTGGCGTAAAAAGTGCAAATTTTGCATTACTGGTGAATGCCAATGAGACAAAAAAAAGTATAAACAATTGAGTGCAGAATTGACTCACGTGTAAAATGTAGCACGTTATGCATTTCAAACAAACGGAGCACTTTTTGGTTCGTTCAATTGGATCAATAATGTATATTAATAGTACGTAATCATGCTCTGGTGTGTTGCAAACTCAAAGAAACACTCGCCAACCCACGTGAATTATGTGGTTGTTGCCCCTTTCTAGGTCTAATTTTCCAGGAACAAATAATTCTCTCTATTCAAAAGCTGCTGCCTTTAAACACGATGCTTGAATCCCGATGCGATGTGCTTTTGGCCACCATAGGAGCAGGGTGCTGCTGTACATTAGTGGTGACAAGGATGCATACGCGGCATACACCAACAGGCACCAGTTTTATTTAGTATTAATGCTCTATAATTGCTTTCAGCATTGGTTCATGTATCCAATGGTTTACATGATGGCATATTGATGTCACGTCATGGTACATGATGATGCACAATCCGGTCGGTCTTAATTGTCAACGATCTTGCCTCTGAACTGAGTGGTAGGGGACCTGAAACAGAGGGACTGAAGAAGCTCCAGGGAGAACCCGGCGTAAGGGCTCCGAAGCTCAAGTTAGAATCTTTCAAAGGCAAGATAAGCCAGATAGCGCAAAGTTAGCATACCTCGTTCTTGGAGGGTAGGGAGCCTTTTATAACCACCTCGCGCACTCACTTCCAGGCTTCTGTCAGATCGGGCATGATTATCTCCTAGCTCCTGCTAGTTCGGATGTCATCCCCTCTGGCCGGACAGAACCGCCAGTGCTCCTTTTGTCGGAGCCGTCTCTGCGGCTGGTGACGACGGTGGCAAGTGGCAGTGGCAGGAGGCCGTTTGAAGTGCAGCTGTCAGGCGTCAGATCCCAAATCAATCAGGTGCGCCGCCCTTGGATACGGACGTCCTCGGTGTCAGGTACGTTTGGTCAGTCTGGCGTTTCGGAAGCGAAGTGCTGGAGTGGCGAACGAGATGTCTTGAGTTCGGTTTGGGGAGTGTTTCGAGCTGCCATGGGCCATCTCGGGTCACGGCTTTGTGAGGCTTAGGACCCGAGATAGTTCGGGCTCCTTGTAGGGAGCTCGGGTTCTTAGTAGGGAGCTCGGGTTCTTAATAGGGAGCTCGGACTCCCAGTAGGGAGCTCGGGCTCCTAGTAGGGAATCCGGTCTGGTGGAGTTTGGGCTCAGTAGTGAGCTTGGACTTTGTTACTTTCGGTGCTCGTTTTGGGCGCTCTGCTGCCCCGAATTGCTTGCTTTTACCACGTGTCGGATGATTGCGAGATTGGGCCAAATTTCCCTTCATCAGTATAGATATACAATTGGCAGCAATGGTTACAAAAACCAAAAAACACTAAAGGCGACGTTCTCTGGAGCCTGCACGGCCGTTTTTGGAACAACGGTTCCAAACAAGGCTGTATTTCTTAGCGCACCATTTTTCCTGATGTGACATGTGGAACTGTTTTCTGAAGCAACGACATTGATGTTAGCGTGGTCTTGTGATCATTGAAGCTGATTTCCTTTGCATAGAGCCTCTTCTTATAACAATCTGAACCCTCACACCTTTTTCCAAAGTCGCCAATGGAGTACATCCACGATAATACTATGGGTATTAATGGGGTGTGCTGAGTTGGTGTTCAATCCAATCCAACTTAACCAATTGCCCTGTTGTGTATCCTGTGACTTTGGTCATCTGAATCATCAGGAATAGCTCCATTACAGAGAGATCTTCTTCCTCTCTAAGTAAAAAGAAAAATATAAATATAAAAATGTGTGGTTTGGAAGGAATATAAATATAGTGTAAATACATACAAAATAATATAAAATATAATGTTTTGTAAACTACAAATTTATATTTATACTCCTTCCAAACTGATCCTCATGTTTCTCCTTTTTCTCCACTCCATCGAAAAAAAGGAAATAATTAACAATAAGGTATTTTATTGCATATAAAATAGTTGGGGGGTGTAGATTGAGTCAAATCTTGAATTCAAACTTGGAAATTCAAATACTGTTTATACCCCTGGTGGGCGTTCCAATAAAATATACAAATATAAATATTAACCTTATTTGATGTGATGTTCTAATTTAAAATTTAGGACCTGCATTAAAACTGGGCAAGTATACTTGCAATTTATTCACACTCTTACACGCGAATAGACATAACTAGCTAACCAATAGTATCTAATATATTTGTGAAGTATATTTTAAAAAGTAATAAATCTGAGGTGCATAAAATCTAATAATTAATGAAGCTCGACTAACATATTGGAAAAAATTATAATCAATCAACTAATATCATAAAAGTAATAACCCAAAAAAAAAAGGTAATTAAGCAACTGGGCAGCATTCATCAATATCTCATTTTTTCCACTGATTACTCGTATTTACTCTAATTCTTTTTGGCATAATACAATTAACAACATTAATAATTCTTCGCAAAGATGGTGAGAGCCGATCACAGGACTCAAAATCGCATTTAATATGGGATTAATCCGCTTATATACCAACCGAGCCATCACTCAATTGGCAAATTCAAAATTCATGGGATTTTGATTGATAAGCTCTTCTCACATCATGGATTTACACCATAAATTAAAATTTCTAAAATGTGAAAAAAAAAATGTATTAATGTGATTCACTCAATATTTTGCATTGCCTTGTTGTTGTCAAAGATGGTCACTGGGTGTACATTCATGGACGCGTGGATTCGAGCCAGCATAATTGCAGGCTCTCCGTGGTTAGTTAAGTGGATCTCCGATGCATCCTGGTCTGTCCCCACTCTTTTATGAACTTGTCCTTGTCGTGTGTGACATGCAATGCAACGCATCCTGTAATGTATTTGTTTGACGTCTCTTTGTGCCTTTCTTATCAAAGATTAGACCCTACCATGTGTTTTGGGTTTGATTTTACGTTGAGAAGACCCAACCAATGACATCTTGCCATTTAATGTCTCGCCCTGTCAATGTCACATATCTAAAAAATCACAACCCAACCCCTAAATTTACATGCACCAAATGTTGAGATGTGTATTTTGGAATACCTAATAGGGCCAATATGGGTCAAAGACCTAATAGACCAGAAGAGAATGTGTTGGAATTTTTCTCTTATAAGCCTCTTTAACAAAAGAAACAGAAACTCAAATAAAAAAAAAAATCTTCTAACTTTGGGGAATTGGGAGGATAGGCTAATCTAGAAAGAAAATTCCTCTGAGAAATTCTCTGTCAAATCAGCATACCTTTTAGCAAGCAGAGAAGGATTTCAATTCCAATCCCCTTCTTCTGGCCATTTGGGTAATATTAATAACAACCAAAATAGAGATTCCTGAAAGGAGGTTTGAAAATTAAAAATTGATCCAAAAATTAAACACTTCATATGGAGATGTCTTTGAAATTCAAATGTAGTCAATATGAACCTAACTAGTAGAAAATTATCTCAGACCAATCTTTGCCCCATCTGCACCAAAGAACCTGAATCAATTATGCATGCCTTGTTTAAATGTGACCATGCCAAGTTCCTGTGGTTCGGGTCAACTTTGAACCTAAGAATTGAGAATGTTTCAAATGATTTCACCAGTTGGTTCCTGGAGTGGATCAGTCTATATAGTTAGAGGAATGACAGAAAAGAAGAACTCTTAAGCTATACAACTCTTAACCCCCTTAAAAATATTTTGTCTTAACAGAGCCTAGAAGAAGAGGAAGAGGACTTTGCAGAAAAGATGGCTAGGTTCTTTGCAAGTACCTGAAATTGCTGTTTCAACTTTTTTGTGACAACCTCCAGCTCAAAATCTTTTGAAGATAAATGTGGATGGTAGTTTTTTGTGATGGAAAAACAGATTTTGGTGCAATAGATAGAGACCATTTGGGCCTTATAGACAGCATCTCTTTTGGCCAGTCAATTTCAGTCTCATCCATCCAAGTAGAAGATGTCACATGCCTTCAAGGAGTGAAACTAGGGAAGTTGTTAAACAAAAGTCCTTTTGTGATTGAGAGCGATTGCAATTCCTTAGTCTAGGCATTGAACGCAAAGAACTTAACTGAAGTCTTTGAAGCTTTTTTCTATTGTAAAAATATTTTGGAAGACCGTAAAAACTTGATTGTTTCTTTTTCCTTTACAAGGAGGGAGGCCAATTTACTAGCCCACAACTTTGCAAAAAAGGGCCTCACAGGATTTGACATTTACACAGAAGCCCTTCCTCTGTGGGTAGCAAATTGGTTGACTCCCCCTTCACTCTTTGTGATTTGGTACTTTTTTTTTTTTTTTTTTTGCAACTGGTTCAAGGGAGTCGGTTAAGACCTCCTCCACACCCTAAACCGGTCAGACCCCCGATACACCCACTGTAGAGACGTATCAGAAAGGTCCCGGAACAATATGTATCGACCGATATGGGCCGCTAGTTTGAACCTTGGTTGTTAAGCCAGTCAAGAGATTTTAGAATACAACATCATAACAGCTACAGGCTCAAGTAGTTAAACTAAACTTATTTGGGCTTCTCACAGGTTTGGCCCATTTACAAAAAAGACGAAGCTGCAAATCGATTATTAGAAGAGAACGGGTTCTGAATACAAGCGAAAATGGGCTTTGATAATACATCCCTTCTGTTTCTTGTAGACTAAAGACTAATAATGGAAGAAATTCAAGTACAAACATCTTTCTTATTACAGTGACCACATCATCATGGAAAAAAGAGTCCCAAGTCCTAGAATGCCATATATATAAAGATACAATCACGTGATATGTCTGACTCCATCACGTGGTCCCATGAAAGCTACTGTTACCATTAGTTTAATCATGGCTATTAATTACCTGCAAATTGATTGTTATACCATCTCATCTGAAATTAATCATGGCTATTAATTACCTTCTCCGTCAGTGTTTCTGAATGCTCAGACCTGATTTCAAAGCCGTGCTTGCAATATAATTTTTTAGCTTTTCCTCCGTCATCTTCACGGGTTTTCTTACCTGCAAATTGATTTTAAAAGTCAATTAAAACCAAGTTTCTAATAAGATAACATAGAATCTTCCTTAAATGATCATTAAACAGTCCAATTATGATTAATGGTTTTTACGGGTATCTCTATTCCACTGGGCTCCAAAGAAAAGAAAAGCTGGCTAAAAGGTTTATTGACACTGAATCAGAAAAGAGGAGACTTGAGTGAGTGGACATGGTTGCATGGGAACTAGAAAATAGGGATGCAAATGTACTGGATACAGCAAAATTGAATTATCTCATGTCGGGTTCGATCCGATCCATTCAATTGCAGCCCCCCAGTGCCAGCCGGCTGGTTATTATTTTGGTATAGACATTAACATATAAGTAGTAGACTTGTCACAGTGTGACCAAATACATTCGTCGGTGGACTCTAGTTGGAATCAAATGACGAGTTGAGACAAAAACGTGTTGGAAGTTGGAACACGTACATATTAATTGTTGGGACAAGATGCAGAAGCTGACTGTCTCTAACAACTGGAGTTTGGCTTTTAGTTCATAAATTCATGGAAATGTTCCACGATGGAGATGGCTGATTAGTGACCAGTATATAGTAATAGTTCCATATATAAATTCTGATAATGTATGGTTGAGACTTGAGAGTAATCAGAAATGGCGGGATGACTAGTGCTGCTCTGTTCAACTTGAATGAAATGTCGCCTCAAAAGACGACGAGAGTAATCAGAAATGGTTGAGAGTAATTTGTTTTTGTGGTTAACTAGACGACGAGAGGTATGTTACGTTGAGAAACATGTATGACACTCCCGCAACCACTCCAATCACTTGTGCTAGCTGGAGGCCTCGAGCCTGTGCTGTGTCAGGCCAATTTTCCAAACAACGTAACCCAAAAATGAAAAGTTTGAATCTCAGGGGGAACAAATTTTCCAAACAACAAATATATTGCTTCACCCTACTCATATGGGATATAAATGAACCCAACAATATTGCATTAAATTAAGCTGGAATAAGCAGAGAAGATGAAATTCCATAAAACAAAAGACACATGTGCTTACCCTAAAGAAAACCGTGGTTTGAATAAATTGTGGCTTGATCCTCTCGAGTGAAGTGTAAGTAATCTCGAAACCGAGTGACTCCATCACTCTTAAAACTTCTCCTCCCGCACCACTGCCACCCTTGCACGTTATCTTCACAATAAATCTCCGATCCTCCATTTTTTCTGTCTCCATCTGCATTATTATTATTGTTTTACAATATAATCCACACAAATGCATACAAGTAATATATATAAGTAAAGCTTACACTATACCTCGATAATATGGGGTTTGGTCCTCGAAGTGGCGTTGGAAGCTGACCCCCGCCGCCGGGTGCGGGGAATTGAGGTTGGGTTATCCGGCCATGTCTCCGGCAAGTTGTTCAACGTTTTGGGTTGCTGTTGTTGTTTAACCCCCTTTTGAAGCCGTGCAATTTCTTCGTGAATGCCCTTCAGATACGATAGAGCGTCCACTAACACTGATCTTTTGTCCATCTGTAATACAAACACAGAATTATTATATATAATCCCATCAATTCAGTTTTAAAATTCTTTCTTAACTTTTAATACAGATCTTAGACTAGCTTTTACCTTAGTAATATTTGGAACAAGAGCACGAAGAGCAAGCAATTGCTGGCTCAGTCTCTTCCTTCTGTTCCTTTCCGAAATCAAATTCTTACAACTCGGCACACCTGGCTTTGGGTCATCATCCGTTGCTTCCTCATCGTCTTCTTCAACGTAAGGTTGAGGTTCCGTCGTCGTTGCATTATCAACAGCATTAGTGTTAATTGGTTGAGGAGTGTCAACCTCCACTGAATCCACAAGCGTTGGCGTCGTTGAATCCATTATGGACTGAAAGACATGATCGTCGATGCTACCTTGACTCTCCGCCGGTGCAATTAATCCGAGATAGTCGCTATCTAGAAATGCGTCGCACACGTCTACTAACATTTGGTTCTGGGTCAGTTTCGTATCGACACTTTGGACGCTTTCAGGGCTGGGCTGGGGATCGAAGTCATGCAAGTGCACAAGTGATTCGTCGGTGTCTGGTCTTGGTGGGTGGGAGAATAGATTGGACTCAAGATCTGAGGTTATGAATTGGAACAAAGGATCGTTGAGCATTTCAACCTCTTGGGGAAAAGTAGGGTTGTAAATGTCATCTTGGTCTAGCCAGGAAGAGATCATGTCTAGGTATCTGGGTCTTGGATTCAGGGTTGCCTGGTTCTGTTCTTGGAAGGAAAAAGCTCCTACTTCGGTTTCCATATATGCCGATGCTCTCACTCGAGACTCTGCCCACTTGGCCACTCTTTTTCTTTCACAGTAACGTTTTACTGAAGTGCTAATATGACTTTGATAAGGCAAAGATGGATGAAAAACCACTTGATAAGAAGAAGATAAATATCGCTCTTTCTCTCTCTCTCACTCTCTCTCTCGCTTGCTCAATCTCTTACTCTGCACTACTTTCTTTCTTTCTCTCTCTCTCTCTATTGTGAAGAGCTAAAGATTAGCTCCTCTGAATCAATCGAAAGGAGAGAGGGGAAATATAAAGAGAATTAATGGAGAAACGTCCAAAAATGTTTGGCGTCTTATTTACGTATTAATCTAATTTTCTAACTTTCTGTATTTAAAAGGGAAACTGCATGACTGACGGTGTGCCACAAATTTCTTATCTACATTTTTTTTCTTAAAACATACCTTATAGTTTTTTTTTATTAAAACATCCCTTATAACGACACTATTAATCCTAACATCCATTCAAATAAAATTACTCGAAATAAACTAAAAATTGAAATGCCATTTTTGCCTCTAATAAAATATAGACAATCATTCTATTTTTCTCTATTTAATCAATTTTTTATTCTCTATACTAAAATATGATAGAAGTGCTTTTGGATTAAAAAAACCATGGATTTATAGCATTTAACATGTTTCACTCAGTTTAGGGATACTTTTTGGAATAAACAATGACCATGCGTCCATATTATTGAACATTTTCCACTTATTTTAGGTGTTTATGTTACTATTTAAGATGTATGGAAAAATAAATAGTTCTTAATGAAAGGTTGATTAAATAAATAGGTTGAAAACTATAAGAAGTGTTTTAGTAAAATGCAAACTACAAAATAGTTTTAATTAAGAGCCCGTTTGGTGTGTCTTTCCGCACGGTCTTTTGACTGTTTACAAGCCGCAAAGACCGATTTTCGGTCTATTTTCGTTTGGTGCGCGAAAGATCTAGCCGCTAAAAGACGAAACACCGGAAAGACGCGAGAATCTCATTTTGGACTGATTTCAGGAAGCTCCAAATGAAGCTTCTCGCATCTTTTGTGCTTTAATATCGCATGGAAAAAATGAAAAAAGACACGTGAAAAGATGCATGTCCGTCAAATATGCTTCGAACTACTCAAATCTTCATGCAAAAGCTCAATAACTCTTTTATATGTTAAATCTACCAAAGATCTTCCAAAAAAACTTGTCAAATGAACGTTAAATCTGTAAAACTAAAGGAAGTATTATAATAAAAGACCCTTAAAAATATCTCGTAATTACGACCACGAATTCAAAACCCATTTCACTTCTTTTACCCTCCGAACAAAGTGGCGCCAACAAGTATGATTAATAATATATAGCATACACAATAGCCAACTTGTGAAGAAAAAGCTAGCCATGATTAATAATATATAGCATACACAATAGCCAACAAACATAATTAAACATGGAAAATGGGGCCATGTCGCCTCGTTGGTAGGTAGCAGTAGCACCATTATTGTTGTCTTTAGATGCGTTTTTTTTCTTTTCTTTTCCTTTTTTTTATGAATGCGAAGTACATACAATTAATAAAAAAAAAATTGTCTTCTTAGTAAACAGACTTTTAGTCGTAATGGATGTAAATACGAATTCCAATAAAGCATTTGTTTTTTATTTTTTTATCAAAAGCCCACTTGAATGTAAATTTACTTCTTTTTTTTTGATGTATTTTTACATTTTATTATCAATATAAATATGCATTAGTCTGCCATTTATCAATGCAAAAATGTAATATTGCCAAACACAGATAAAAGTGAACCAGAGTGTAAATTTACCCTAAACCGGGATTTACACTCCATTTGCATTGTTTCCAAACGCAGCCCAAGACCCAAAAAGAGATCGGCTCCTGGTGGTGCAATATAGATAGGTTTTGGGATGATGTACCACCTTGAGGATTGTTTTGGCATTTCGCTTACAGTTTTAATCCTTATTACTGGACCATACTTAGGGCTGTAACTTGGATTGGATTAGCCAGAACTAATCTGAAAAAGTTGGGTTGGGTTGAATTTTGGGTTAGAATTAGGTTTGAAAAGTATAAATTCGATTCAACTTAAATGTATAAGTACTATATAAACATTTATTAATATATATATGTTGTATATTAGCAATTTTAAGTTTAACTTAAGTTGTCCAAAGCATGTTAACTATGTTCTTTGACATATTAAATAGTGGGTGGTAAAACTGAACTTAGGGTTGAACTGACGTCAACCCATTAGTACAGGAACTGAGAACATTTGGCAAAAGAAAATACAGAAGTTGGGTCAACCCATCCCAACCCTAATCCAAAAACTTTGGGTTAGGTTAAGGTTTAGTTTGGGTTGGGTTAGAATTGTTGACCTCAATCCGACCTACCCCAGCCTGACTTGCACTTTAGCCATATTACACCCACCTTTCATTCTCCTTGGCTCTCTCTCTCTTCTCCCCTTTTTATCACTCCTACTAAGCCATGTCACCATTCCCAACCCAACCACATAAAATTATTCCTAGAATCTCTCTCCCCCAATCTATACCCACTCTCTCTATTTAAAATATTCATATTAATTAATAAATAATTAAATATGGTTAATATTTAATTCAACCCATATTCAATGACTACTAAATAGTGTTATTACTAAAAGTTAATAAATATGGTTAGTAAATTACCAAAAATTAAATATTCTTATTAGTACGGTTAGTAAACTACCAAAAAATAATAAATATTGTTATTAATTAACTCACCATGACTTTTCAAAGTATTTTGAGTAAATATTGTTATATTCATGTTAATTAACAACATTTTATAAAAATTGAAAATTCTTTAACTAACTTCTATAAAATTGAGAATTATATGTAACAATTATCAAAAAGTATAAAATTTTAGTTATTGCTATTATTATAGTTAATARCYGAATSCRKATSRRGGAATAAAATATTATAATGTTGGAAAATGAAATTATTATTTAATTTAAATTGGAAAATAAAAGATAAACTAGTGTAATTTTTTTTAGAAAACTACCTAATAAAAATAAATATTTAATAACAATTTAAAAATTTTCAATAAATCTCCATAATTACACAAATGTAATAAATTTTTCAAAAATTTTCATAAAACTACGTTTTTGTAAAATAACACTTTGGAAATTAAAAGATATAAATTCTTGAACTATAGATTTTGGAGAACTATTGAAAAATTATGTAATTTTTGTTGTAAATTATTAAAGCTAAATGAGCATGGGAAGGGGAAAACTATAATTTGAATCAATAATTACAGATTATTAAGATAAATTAGTATAATATTGGAAGAAGGAAATTATTGATTAGTTTATATTAGAAAAATATAAGATAGATTTGTGTAATTTTGTAAGTAAACCATTTAAAACGAAAATAAATTATTTAATAACAATTTAAAAATAAATTTGAATAAATTTTCAAAATTAAATAAACATAATAAATTTTCCAAAATTTTCATAAAATTACATTTTTGAAAATTAAAGACAATTTAGTGTACTGTTAGAAATTTACCATGTGGTTGATAGATAGTATATCCTTTTTATCATTTTTGTCATCAAATTGAATATTGGGTTGATGGGGAATGGATGCCTTGCCTTGAACTAGCTCGACATTGGGGATGAGGCGGAAAAAAATTGAGGATTCCCCATCCTTGATGAGGAGTGGGTGCCTTGGCTTGAACTCGATCGACACTGAGGATGAGACAGGGAAATTCAAGGATTCCTCGTCCCTAATGTGGAGTGGGTGCCTTGCCTTGAACCCACCTGACAATTGGGACGGGGCAGGATGGGGTAAAGTGTCTTGACTATGGGGTAGGATTAGGGATCGAGACCTTGTTGTCATTCCTATTTAATTATTAATTATTAGTGAAATTAATAAAAATGTTGGCTTTTGTAATTATTTTTATTTATTTAAAGTCAATAGAAATTTTATTTAAAAATAATGAAAATAATAATAGTTATTAAAATTATTACAAATGATTAATAAAATTAAATTTATTAAAAAATATTTGTTTGTATTAAATTAACAATAATTATTTTTTGTAAATCAACATTAAATGAAAAATACAATTATTAAAATTTTTAAATATTAACAATAAACTTGAATATTTTTTGTTAATTAATAACAAATTTTGATTATTAATTAATTAATTAATTAATAGAAAATAAAATTATTCAATCTTTTAGATTTTCCCATGCATCGCACATCCCTTGTAGTGTACCATATGTCCTCATTGTGGTATAGAGATTGGCGAAAACATGAAAAACTTCGGCTAGCTATTTGGAGTAAATAATATAATTTCAGCGGAGTGGAGGATGAATCTCCGTTACTCCGTACAGGTGGGACGAATCTCGACCATGAATCGATGTTAAATCCATGGGCAGGATGCAATTTATAAGGGAGGGGAGGGGGCTACTAATAGAGACTAATGGGGGCTGTAATTTCACATTTGTGCGGTGGAGTGTAGTTTACTTCACCGAAAAAAAAAGTATTGAATATAAATATTCTTTTCCCCTCACCCATACCCACGTTGCAGCGTGTCATGTGGAGGAAGCTGAAAAATAGCTCAAGCTGTTTTATCTAAATAGCCAAAGTTTTCCCTATTAATTAAGGCTGTGTTTGGTTGTAGCACAAAATTAATGAAAAACTATGATAGTGCAAATGATTTGGGTGCAAGTTTTGGTTTATTTTTGTTCAAATTTTACCTTGTTTGGTTGCATTAAAAGTGAAGTAAATAAGACCAAAAGCAGATAAAATACAAAACAAAATTAAACTAAACTTTGCATTTTTTCATTTGCACTTCCATACGTTTGTACTAGTGGAAATAAAATTACATTGCAACCAAACACACCCTAAAGGGCAAATTTCTAAAAGTATCCCTACGTTTAGGAAATTGACCATCTCTACCCTATTGTATACATATCGTCTAAAAGTACCCTTAAATTTTTTTGACAATTGACTAGTTCTACCCCTTCCATTAGCATCTGTTAATGTTCCATCACAATTAGTACACATGTGACACCATTTGACATATAAACATTTTCTAAAACCCAATATTACCGTTTAGTGGGCAACAATTAGACCTATGCTGCTTTGAGAGATTAGCTCCAATGATCTTCCAATCATAGTGATTAGCTAAACTGAACTCCAGCCTCCCAAACACCTTTCCATCATCTAGGAATAGGGCCGTAACTCATATCAAAG